TTCCTCAAAGAGACTTTTTATCCCCTTTTCTCTCTACTTCTTTTTCTGGTACCCCTATAATGTGAATGTTGTTCCCTGTGGATTGGTCACACAGTTCTCTTAATATTCTTTCATTCCTAGAGATTCTTTTGTAGTCTGTGTGCCTCAGCTTCTTTGTATTCTTGTTCTCTCATTTCTATTTCACTTACTGTCTCCTCTGCCTCATCTAATCTGCTTTTAAATCCCTCCATTGTAAATTTCATTTCAGATACTGTATTTCTCAAAGTTTCTGTCTGCTTCTTGAAATCTTCCCTGAGATCTTGAATATTTTCCTGTAGCTCCATGAGCATGTTCATTATTTTTATTTTGAAATCTATATCAAGAAGATTGATGATTTTCGTTATACTTAGCCCTCTTTCTGGTTTTTGAGGGATTGTGGTTTGTACAAGGTTCTTTTGCCATTTCATGTTTCTAATGAGTCCGATAGAATAATAACTTTGAGTAGGTGGTGCCTTCTAGTGCCCAGACTACTCTCTGGAGCTGCCCAGCTCCTGGAGCAATGTTGGGGGTCACAGGAGCACAGCACCAGTGACTGCTTGGAGGAAAGAGGTCTGTCCTGCTTCCAGGCTGCAGTGCTTGTCTCCACTGCCCGGTCTGGTGTGCAGAGTGTGCAGGGAGGGACCTACGTGTTACACTGTGTAGCTGCCATAGACGGGGCCACCCCCCCACTGGCCTGATGTGATGGTGGGGGCAGCAGGAGTGGAGAGGCAGGCTTTGTATTGTATTTGGGGGCTCGGCACTGCATTGCCCGCCAGTGGGATGGAGGTCTGAATTTCTAGAGAATTCCCAACCTGCTGGGCTGAGTGTTCCTGCACGATTTTGTCCACCTGTCCTTTCGCCTGAGCAGTATGCTCTGTGTAATCCTTGTCCCTTTAACAGTCTTCTCGCTTTTAGGAATTATTTCAAAGTGCCTGCCTTTCTTTTGTCTCTGAGTGGCCCATTGTGGGTACTATTCTCCACAAGTGTCTGGAATCTCAGTCTCTCCGAGTATTCCTCCTGTCTTTGCTTTCCAGCTCTTCTAATCTCTGGAGTACCATTTAATGTGGGTTTGTGCTCCCCGAGCACATCTCCAGTGGTGGGTATTTAGCAGTCCTTGGCCTCTACTCCCTCCCTGCTCCACTTCTTTTCCTCCAGCCTGTGAGCTTGAGTGGGGGTAGGGCTTGGGTCCTGCTGGATCATGGTTTTGCTGCTTTACCCTTTTCCGTGAGTTTTTCCTCAAATGTAGGCAGTCAGTCTGTAGTGATCTTCAGGTCACTCTTTCAAGATTATTTGTATTTGTGGTGTTTTTGCGTTATATATGGTTTTGGCAGGAGGCTTCTGCCTCACTTCTTATGGTGCCATCTTTTTCCTAGCTTTTTCAGTTCTAAAAATAAATTTTTATTTGTATCCCTAGGATTCTATTTCATTTAAATGCCTAAAATTCTTGTGCATTGATATACAATAATTTAATGAGCCTCTCATTAATCGATATTTGAGGTGTTTACAATCTGTTGCTATTTCATTGGTTTAGTAAGTAACTGTGAATATATGTCATTTCATATATATAGGCATATTATCTATAGGAATTCCAATAGTGGGAGTGTTGCATCAAAGCATAGATCTACATGTAATTTTGATAGATAGATCTAAAATTTACACAGTAGGTAAGTGGGTAGAGGACTACTTTATACTATCAGCAGTGTTTTAGAGTATTGAAGTTGTTTTTGTCTAATTAATGAATGAAAAGTGGTATCCTAGTGTAGTTTTCACATATACTTAATGTGAGTGAGATTAAGCATCTTTAAGGGCCATTTAAATTTCCTTTTCTGTGACATCTCTCTCTTTTTTTTTTATATGGTGGTGTTCTTGGTATGGTTTTTTTCATGTTTGTTTGTAGGTACTTTCTGTAAATTAACCCTTTGCCTGTGATAAGAGTTGCAAATACTACCCCTCACCAATTTTGACATATGATTGTCTCTTTTCTTGTGGTATTCTACCATGCAGCAGTTTGTCATTTTTATTTCTTAGCATAATTTGTTGAAAGAGTTTCTATAGTTGCTAAATCTGTTTTCTCACTTCTCATTCTTTCCTTATCTGTCTCAGTAGTGTTGCTGTCTGCATAATTCTACTGAAACTCTTCTTATCAAGTTCACCAGTGATCCAAATATTACCAAATACAAAGGTTATTTTTGTTATCTTACTCAGCCTTTCAGCAGTGCTAGGTATTGTTGATTACCTCCTCTATGAAAACTATTTTTGTCTTAATTTCTGTGACATAACAGAAAATATGTATATTGGCCTCTGTCTTCAGTTCCAGGGACAGAGTTCCTGAAACCCTTAAAATTTCCTGGTGATAAGAGCATGAGGTGCATCTTTCATTCTAGTATCTGGTGTTTAACCTTGGTTCTTCCCACAGAGCTTCTAAATCCCTTGGGATTTCCTGGGTGATAGGTCTGTCTTCTGTTCTAATAAGGTGATGCCTGGTGCGCCCCTGGATGGGGCTGGTCACTAGTAAAACCAGGCCATCATTAAAAGCTTGGAACTTTCAGTCACACCTCCCCTCTGGGAAGGGGAGAGGGACTGGAGATTGAGTCAATGATCAGTCATGCTCTAATTCCAGGGGCAAAATCCCAGGGCAAAATACTTTTGAAACTGAAATAAGTCAAAGGGAGAAACCCATTTATTTCTTACAAGCAGTCTGCTTCACTTCTGTGCTCCCCAGTTTACTTCTACTCTCCCCTGTCTCTCATGACCCAGCTGCAGAAGAGGCCCCACCCAACCTCTTCAGTCCAGATAAGCCCTTGCTTGCCCTTGTAATTACTACTGATATGGAGATGCACTAAGGCCAGGTGAGAGATTCTGGAAATATTTCAACTTTAACCACACATGCCTACATGATGAAGCCTTCATAAAAATACCAGAAGGATTCAGAGAGCTGTCATGTTGGTCAGCACATCTGTTTGCTTGGAAGGTGGCAGACCCTACTTCCACAGGAAGCTCCTCTGCTTTGGGACCCTTCTCGGCCTCATGCTCACTTTGTGTATCTCTTCATCTGGCTGTTTGTATCCTTCATTTCATAATAAACTGATAAACATAAGTGTTTCCTTGAGTTCTGTGAACTCTTCTAATAAATGATCAAGCCTGAGGAGGGATCATGGGAACCTCTGATTTACAGTTGGTCAGAAGCACAGATGAAAACCTCGACTTTCATGATTGGCATCAGAGGATAGGGTTCAAGGTGAGGGTTTGGGGAGGGCAGTTGTGAGACTGAATGCTTAACATGGTCTGTGCTAACTCCAGTTAGTTTCAGAATTGAATTGAATTATAGCACATCCAACTATTGTTGTAGAGAATTGCTTAGTATGGGAAAAAAACCCACATATATTTAGTGACCAGAGGTGTCAGAAGTGAAGTAGTGAGAGTAGTGGAGATACATAGGATTGTTTTTTTCCCAGACATCTTCTATGACATCTTCCAGTTTTCATCTTCCTCACAGTCCATTTTTTCTCAGTTTTTTTTTTTTTGGTAGTTCTTATTCTGTTTGATGTCTAAATGTAAAGGTACCTCAGGACTTGGTCCTGGGATTTCATTTCTTTTTGAACTCTGTACTTTCCCTAAATTACTAACCTAGTGCCATAGCAGGACTGCTGAGGCCTGAATCTGTATATAAGTCAAACCTCTTCCTGGAATGCTGTTTTCATATGTCCAGCTATACCTTCTATCTCTGTTTAGATCAAATTTCAACTTTCTAAAACAAAACTCCTTTCCCACCTACTCTCCTTAATCTAAACAAACAGTACCAAACAGTTTGTGAAATCAAAAATCTAAGTATTATCCTTAATGACAGCATCATCTCATTCAATTCATTGGTAAATTTTATAAATGCTACCAAATCCTTCAGTGTTATACCTTTCATCCCAGATCATCTCTCAACTAGAATATAGTAACAGCCTCCTATCAGGTCTCTGCTTTCATTCTTGCCTTTCTCTGATAATCCATTCTGACTTAGAAGCTGGAATCATGTTTTAAACCTTAAAATAGATTGTCTCTCTCTTATTTAAAATCCTCCTTTTAAAACCTTCCCATTGTACTTTGAATAGAATCCAGATTTCTTGGCTTAACATAATCTGATTCCTACTTATCTAAAACTGCTTATAGCATTATTGCTTTTTGCCCATTGTATTGCAGTTGTATTGGTTTTCTTCCAGGTGCTTAAATAAGCAAAATTTGTAAATTACCTCAGGATCTTTGCCCTAGCTGTTCCTTCTGCTTGGAATATTCTTCTTCCTGATCCTCCTATTTTTGCATTCAACTGTTAAATTGTTACCTCAGGGAAAGCTTCCTTGACATTCAAATTAAAGTAGGAATTAGATTATATTAACCTAATTAATTTTCATTATATCACTTATCACTACCTGATGTTTTCTTGCTCATGTATTTGTTTCTTAATTTATTTCTTTCTCCCTTTAGTAGAGTTTAATGTCAATGGGAATTAATATCTTGCCTATTTTATTTACTGGTATATTTCCACTACCCAGTACATCATCTGGCATGATAAAGGCATGTAAGCAGTTATTGAATGTACAAATGTGTATATATATAAATTAATATATTTATATATTTTCATTTTTGGGTTAATATGTAATGGTTTAATCTCTTTATTAGGTTGTTTTGTATTTTCCTTTTATGTGTATTTAGGATAAGCTCCACAGACTAGCTCTTAGCTGGGAAGGTAGTTAAGTAAAACAGTGTAAATCCACAAAACCTGGGAAATCACATCAAACTTATTTCTGAATAAAACCTTTTTAGCTAGATGAATGTTTATTTTGCAATATGAGATATTTATACTTTTTAAAAGATGTCTTAATTCACATTTGTGTTCTAAGCTTCAAGGAATATAGATCAGTGTGTCAGTTTTCTTTGTTCTGTGAAATAGTGTACATAATGATACTGGTTGATGGAATCATTTTATTTTATTCCAGTTGGTTAGAAGCAAACTCTGAACATCTTGTGGAAAGAGATTATGAATCATCCTGTAAAATATGGAGTGGAAATGAAATGATCTTAAATTTACACAAAATGGGCATCACCACTGCTACTTTTCCCATTTTGCAGGTAACATTATTTTTCTACCTGTGAGATTCATTTACTAAATTAAAAATGATTTAATCATGATTATATTAATCTAGAGTAAAAAAATATAGCAGTTTAGTTGCTAAAACATTGTGTTACCTACATTTGATAATCTTTTAACTGATAGTTTAAGTTATAGATGAAAAATAGCATTATTTAGTTTGGAGGAAATAAGGCTTAAAGGAATTAATTGCTTCAAAGCCAAAAGAAGTCATTATATTTTTAGGATGTAAATTTATTTTTTGTCAATTATAAAAGTTAAAACTTTGGAAAACAAAAGGATAAGAAATTCATAATTCATATTTTTTTCTCCTTAACTTAGAGGTTATAAGCCTGGGTGGATAGAGATCATAAATGGGCTATGGGATATCGTGAACCTTACAAAATCATATGCAAAATTTTACAAGTATGTATTTTTGTATAATTTTCTGTATAGTGGTTTCATGACTTCTATTGTCAAAGAGCTTAATTTTTATTTTTTGCAGATAAGAATGTTTTCCTTTTTTGTTTTTATTTATTTAAATTAATAACTTTTGTAGATAGTATAGTATATTTATTACAACTGTATCAATCATGTTATATTATTGTTAACTTAAGTCCATAGTTTATGTTAGGGTTTACTTTTTGTGTTGTACTGTTCTGTGAGTTTTGATAAAAACATAAAGTCATATATCTACTGTTAGAGGATCATACAGTATACTTCTACTGTTTTACAAGTCTTTCTGCACTTATTCATTCATCCCTTCACCATATCTCATTTTCCCTGCCAAACCTAAGATTTTTTTTTTATTGACTCCGTGGTTTTGCCTTTTCTAGAATGTCATATAGTTATAATCACACAGTAGGTAATGTTTTCAGACTGGTTTCTTCACTTAGGAGTATGAAGCTAAGATTCTTCCATGTGTTTTTGTGGCTTGATAACTCATTTATTTTTATTGTAGAACAATGTTCATTGTATGTATGCACTACAGTTTACTTATCTATTCACCTACTAAAGGACATATTGATGGTTTCCAGGTTTGAGCAATTATGGATAAAGCTGTTTGTTGCTCTTCAGCAACAAGAAGGCCGGGGGACAAGCAGGACTAGCCTGCTATCCCCAGGGCTGAGCGAGAGGGCAAGTGTCGGCGGCTTGGACACCTTCCCCTGAGATCCAGGGAAAAACAAAACCACACCAAGCCGGGAGATGTGTCAGCCTCAAGGGTGCAGCAAAACCCAGCTTTATTCCATCAGAGGCTTAGTTATATAGGGGAAGATGAGGAAGTAACAGAAACCAATGGGAATTAATTATCTCATCTGTCACTAGGGTCTTAGGCAGGTTTCGGGTTAGGTGGGCAGGTGGAGTTAGGGCCAAGAGCCCGCACGCGGTGAGCTAGTTAGGTCACGAACACGGAAATAACGAGGGAGGATGGAAACCTCCAGTCTGCGGCCGTCACAGGCCTAAAAGAGGCAAAAGGTCCCAACAGCTGTTATAAACATTTGTATACATGTTTTTGTGTGGGCATGCTTTCTTCTAATTTGGGTAAATACTTAGGAGCTTACTTGGTGGATTATATTATAAAACTGTTTAGCTTTGCAAGAAACTGCTAAATTGTATTCCAAAATGTTCCACTGCCATCAGCATTGAATGAGAATTCTTCTTGTTCTATGTCCTTGTCAACATTTGGTATTGTCAATGTCTTGAATGTTAGCCATTCTAATAGATATGTAATGATATATCATTTTTGTTTTAATTTGCAATTCCCTAATGACATATGATGTGGAACATCTTTTCACATAATTAATTGCCATCTATATATCTCATTTGGTGAGGTATCTCTTGAAATCTGTTGTCTAATTTCCAATTTGAATGATTTGTTTTATTATTGTTGAGTTTTAAGAGTTCTTTATATATTTTATATGCAAGTCCTTCATCAGATATGTGTTTGCAAATATATCCTGCCAACCTGTGGCTTGTCTTTTCATTTTATTAATGGTGTCTTTCGTGAGCATAATTTTTTAGTTTTAATAAAGTGCAGCTTATCAATTTTTTTTTCTTTGATGGGTCATGTTTTTGGTATTGGATCTAAAAACTTGTCACTAAACCCAAAGTCACCTAGATTTTCTCCTATCTTTTCTTCTACAAGTTTTATAGTTTTGCATTCTACACAGAGATCTGTGATCCATTTTGAGTTAATTATTGTGAAGGGTATAAGATATGTGTCTAGATTCATTTTTTTGATGTGGATGTCCAGTTTTCTATCCCCATTTGTTGGGGATAATGACCATTCTTTCTCCGTTGGATTGTCTTTGCTCCTTTGTCAAAGATCAGTTGAGTGTATTTGTGTGGGTCTATTTCTGGACTCTATTCTTTTGCTTTGGTCTATTTATCTGTTTCTTCACCCTCAATGTCTTGATTCTTATAGCTTTAAGTTGCGTAAGTCTCTAAGTGACTAGTGTCAACCTTTGGCTTTGTTATTCAATATTGTGTTGGCTATTCTGGGTCTTTTGTCTTTCCATAAACTTTAGAGTCAGTTTGTCAATATCAGTAACCTGTTGGGATTTTGATTGGTATTGCATTGAATCTATAGATCAAGATGGACAGAACTGAGATTTGAACAATATTAAGTCTTCCTATCCATGAACATGGAGTATCTCTCTATTTATTTAGATGTAATTTGATTTCTTTACTCAGAGTCTGTAGTTTTCATCCCATAGATTGAAAAAAGTTTTTGAACCAAAAAAAAGAATCATTGCTAACATGATCTTTACTAGCATTCTTGACATATTGGCATTCAAAATAATTAGACTGTATTTAAAATTTTTGCCCTGCATTTTCAAAATACAGTGTAGTATCATAAGTATTTTTCTATATTTTGACATCTTTTCATGTTTTTTTGCATAAACTTATTGCATTTTAAAGATATTCATATCAATAGTAAAATGAATATATTGTAGGATATTCATATAGTTGAATATTACTCAGCAATTTAAAAAATGAACCTTTACCACCACAACCATATGAATGAATCTACAGACATAATGCTGAGTAAAAGGAACCAGATGTCAAAGAGTAAAACTATGATTTCATTTCCATGAAATTTAGGAACAGATGAACATAATTATGCTATTAGAAGCCAGAATACTGGTTACCACTGTGCAGGGGTAAGGAGCAGTTTGGGCTAAGAAGGGGCAAAAGGAAACCATCTGGAATTTGAAGAATATTTTATTCCTTATTGCTAATTACATGGGTGTCTATGTGTGTGTGTTTAGTGAGCTGTACACTTAAGATTAGTATACTGTCTCTATACTATAATAAAAAATGTACAAATAAAATATATGCCAGAGGAAAAACTTGAAAAATACAGAAATGCACAAAGGAAAAAATATTCATAAACGTAAAGATGATTATTAACTTTTGGATTAATGACTCTGCCTTCTATGCATATGTTTGCTTAGCTTAAATATAATTCTGATATGATACATGTTTATTTGTAGTCTCTTTTCATTTAAGGATAAGAATACTCTCCTATTTTGATAAAGACTTTTTATTTAAAAAGTAATAAAAATAAAGACTTTTTCACATAATTTTTAGTTGCAGTGTAGCATTTTTGTGGGTGCATATATTTTAAATTATTTGATTAATCTGGCATTTGAAATACAGGTTGTTGCCCATTTTCCAAGATAAGAAACAATTCTGGTATGATCATCCTCAAAAATATCTTTGTATAAACCACAAACTATTTCCTTTATATATTCTAAATACTAATTTTTTGCTTCTTATTGAACTGCATGTATATTCTTGTGTCCACAATTTGTTTATGGTATATTTTTCAAAGTTTTTATTTTAATGCATTCTATTTATCAGTGTCTTTTCTTTATGAATTGTGGTATTTGAGTTTAGTTTAAGTGATTGTTTTCTGGTGGTGTGCTACATTTTCTTCTAAAAGTGTTAAAGCATTTTTCTTTTTATAAAGATGTCAATCAGCCTGGGATACATTTTTGTTTATGTTGTGTGGTAGGGAATCCATTTTACTTCCTTTTTGGATAATGAATTTTCTTAGCATCATTTACTAGAATCTATCCATTTCCCTCTGATTTATAATAACACTTCTGCCTCATATCTAATTTTCATTTATGTGTGAATTAATTTCTGGACTCTGTTCTGTTCTCCGATTCTGTTTATCTACACTGTTATTTGTTAATTGCTGTAGCTTTAGAGAAATGTTGATATCTGGTAGGGCATATTTCCTCACTTTCTTCTTTTCCTTTGGAATGATTTTGGCAGTTTTTAGACTTACTCTGCCATTAGAAATTTAGAATTAGTTTATAAATTTCCATGAAAAATTCCGTGGGAATTTTGATCAGAATTGCATTGAATTTAGAATTCAGGATTAATTTAGAAACTATTTATCATTCAATATTTATAGTTTTATTTTTCAGTCTTAAGTGTTGTTGTTAGATTTATTCCTAAGTAAGTTAAAGTTTGTCTCTTTCAAATGGTGTATTTAAAAAATTGCATATTCTAATTGCCATTGGTGTATAAGAATGGTAGTTGACTTTATTTATTTTGTCATCAACCATTTTGTTGAACTCTCTTGTAGATTCTTAAATTTTCTATATAGAAAATCTTACTGCCTATGAATAATGACTGTTTTCATTCTTTCCAGTTGCCTCACGTTTTATTAATTTCTTACTTTGCCAGCTTAACTTCCAGTACCTTGTTTATCATAGACAGTGAAAAAGACATCCTGGACTTAAAGAGACTATTACTAGTGTTAGACTGTTTAGTAATAAATATGTCCATCTTATTTTTTTAATTCTTTATTTTTTATTAACAGCTTGACTGAGATATAATTCTCATACCATAAAACTTATTCTCTTAAACGATACAATTCAGTGGTTTTTAGTATAGTCACAGTATTGGGCAACTATCACTACTAATTTCAGAATATTTTCATCACTTCAGAAAAAAGCCTTGAATCCACTAACGGTCACTCCCT